GTATGCATCAGGCGAGTTAGTAAGAAATCACCATGGGACTTCTCAGGGAAGGGGGCAGCCGGACACTTTCCGGCACGCCAGACTGTACACGTGTGTGCCCACTTTCATGTACCCGGGTGTTGGACTTTGACTCCGAGGATGAGGGGTCTGCGAATGGATGAGCCAGGGAAAGCATAAAGGGTCAGCAGGGTCGTCAGTGGTTGTCTAAAGAGAAGCTAATGGCTAACTTAAGACTAGCGGAGAGTCGCTAGAGATTGTTTAGGAAAAGGGGACATGGAGAGGAAGTTACACAGGTCTGTGTTAAAGTTAGGAAATGGCCACGGGTCCTCACGCCCTGGGAGTCTTACCCAGGTTTGCTTTTTGTTTCAAAAGACCCAGGAGGCTTCCCAGGAGTCTTTATGCCCTGGGGTCTCAGCTCCCCTGAGCTCGCCTTTTGTCTCAGAACTCAGAGGAGTCTCCCGCCCCGGGGCAGCGCCTGAGGCAATCCAGCTGAGGCAATCCAGTTGTAAGTTGGTGGTTGCTCAGGATATTTTGATATTTCGATTATACAAAAAAGGGAGGTCGCAACCTAAGTTAGCAATGGGAATTCTGATCTTTCAGAGTTCTTCCCTCCCTGGAATCTGTCGGTCAACGGAAGTTGCATAACTGGTGTGCGGACGCTGTCTTCATGACTCGCGGCTCCTTCCGTGAGGCGCAAAGGGGAGAGTGGACGTGGCAGGTGTCCCAGAGGCTTAGGGCCACCGGTTATGAGGGCTCCTGGCAGCTGTGTGTGTGTGGGGCGCTCAGAGGACACCTCACCTAGGTTTTCTCAGCAAGTGTCAGACGCCAGCAGGGTGACGCCATCCGCAGGCTGGACGGGCTGGACATCCAGGATGGTCTGTGAGCGGCTGGAGAGGGGCTCGGCTCTCTGCCAGAGTCCACAGGCTTCCCAGACCTGGGTCCCCGGGGAGCACCCCACTGTGTGCATTTCAAGAAGCTGCAGGCTGGGAAGGGCTCCCCTGGCCCCTGGCATTGCTGAGATTTCGCGTCAAAGCCATCTGGGGCCTGGCAGATGCCAGGGGTGGAGGAAGAGACCCCACCTTTCCACAGGGGTGAGGCCTCCCTGCAGACAAGACAATGGGGGGGACGCTGTGTTCCCCGGAGCTGGTGCAGGCAGCCACACAGAGCCTGGCCGTGCTGGGAGCGGTGGTGAGAGCTGTCCCGCTGCGGCCCTGACCGCCCGCTTCTCTGTCCAGAACATGTTCCTGGCCCTGCGCGTCCTGCTCCTGGTCGTGTCTCTCCTGCAGGGCATGGTCTCCTTGGCGGCCCTGGGAGTGCGCTTTCAGAGTGCCTGCAGCCAGAGCCCCCTGGCCCTGGTGAGCGGGGAGCTGCTGGAGGCGGGTCTGGGGGGGCTTCCCAGTTGCCTGGCCGGCAGGGAGTCTTCCAGCACTTGCTGGCATTGTCCATCCAGGTCTGGGGAATGGGACCCCATTCTTTGCCACTCACCCCCGACCCTCCCTCTGTCCTGGGCTTTTGTCCAGCACCCCATCCTCTCGGCCTTTTCCTGATTTCTGGTTCTAGAAATGGTTCCCTCTCATAAGTGACCCCGGTTCCCTCTCATAAGTGACCCCGGTTTCTTCCAGGATGAGGAAGAGGCAGAGAAGAAGCTCCTTGCGGAGAATTCAGTGCCTCCCTCCCCCTCCAAGGAGAAGGTCCCGGTGACGGTGGCGCTGTGATGGGCAGAGACCCGCCTGCGCCGCCCTGCATGTCGGGTGCAGTCCAGGGGAGGCCCTGGCCACACGTCCCGCATGGCAGGGCCCGGGGAGGACTGGACGCCCTCTTGAGCCTTGCACGCCGTGACGCCCCCTGGCCGCTGTGCAGACCCCTGGCCCACGGCCCACCGCCCTCACTCCGGGGCCTTGAACTCAGTGAAGCGCTGCAGCATCATGTCCCCTCTGAATAAAGAGAGCCAGCTTTGCCGGAGGTGGCCCCTTCTTCCCCACGGGGCTGGGCCAGGCCTCGTGCGTACCTTGGGCAGGGGCCGAGCGGTGGGACGGCGCCC